ATTACGCAGCACCTGAAAATAGGCTAACTTCTGTCAACATAACCAACGTGACCACCTGCTTGCACAGGGAGCGTGCTGGGGACTATTTTCAGGCGCTGCGTAATATGATTGCGCCTGCTGCACCCATGGTACGGCAGCAAAGTTCCTTGATTATTACGCCGGAATGAGAGTATAGTTCCTAGCCATATCGGCCTAGAAAATCGCAACTTTTCATTTTCCGGCGGTCTTAGTACACGATGTAACTACAGAAGAGTCAAGTTTTAAATAGGAAAAATATAGAAACTCTTTGGTCATTTTTGAGCGAGATGCTAACGGTCTAATCAGATTCAATGATCTATGCTAAGCTACAGCTAAAAGTGCTACCGCCAGACCCGGAGATTGGCTGAATGGATTCGAAAACGGTAAAACTCAACTGTTTAACTCTAGGGGAGTTGGAAAATGAGCCTATTTTCAAAAATAGTTGAGTGTTCCTTTAAGTGTTCAAATACTTTTTGGGAACGCTGTAGCCTATATTTATCATGTATAACATTTCCTCACTGTTTTGACAGATAATTGGCATGATCTTCAGCATGGTTCTATGCTGCGCCATTCGGAACAGCAGGGAAATTATTTAGGTTCCTCGCGCTTCCCCTCTCACCCAGTTGGACTGTTTCAAAGCCCACTGTCTTTGACCTCATCAGACCATCACATTCAGGCTCGGGAAGCGGATGGAGGAGCTCCCGTGAGGCAGTTGTGGGTCTTGTGGTACTGTTTTGTGATCAGCGTTCTATCTCTGATGGTTTCTGTCTTTTCTGCTCCTTTCATTGTTTGACGATGACCTCCACTGCATGGACTGCTACTGTAACCACATTAACCTTTACATTTATTTTGTCTTCAATGATTTATTACCGAATCATCACAAGGGGAATCTTAACAGTGTACATCTCGCTTTTTTCAAACTTGGTCTCACTTAATAGATAGTTCTTGAGTTACCAGTTAAGAGTTAATGAAACGGACATTTACTTGCTGGTGTAAATAAGCTCTCTGATGCCTCACTGATCAACTACTTTTCATGTTATTTATTGTGTGAACTAGACCAGGGGCCTCATTTATAAAGCGTGCGTACGCTCAGATTTGATCTTAGAATGTGCGTACGCTAAATCCACGCCAACGCTCATATTTGTAAAAACTGTCTTTGACGTGGAAAAGTGCTTAGCGTCACGTCAGAATCTGAGCAGACGTACGCACTTTTTCTTGTTCGAGTACTGCAGGTTTTTGGAAATGTAAGCTGTTCTTGCAGCTCGCTGTTCTAAATTAAAGAATTTGGATGATGACTGGTGATCTTTTACATGTTAATGACATTAATTAGGAGTCGTTTACAAGCAGAGAGCTGAAACCATTCATTTGCCGGCAAGTTCAAGATCATTAGCGATTCATAGATTTCACATCTGAAAGAGACGCGTGCATACGTTTTCTGTACGTACGTTCATTTTATGAATCACACGTATGCATATTTGAGAGATGATCGTAAGATCAATTTTAAGATGGTTTCTGCGCAACATTTTATAAATGAGGCCCCAGGTTTTCTGTGCTAATAGATAATGGGTCATGTTTATTTTGCTGTTATTGTAATTTTGCCACATCATAAAGAAACTGAATGAAGCTGAGAAGTGGATTGAATCAACAAAGTCAACATGAACTCAAAATCAACCCCATTTACTACTTATATCGTTCCTAGTTTTATTGTGAAAGGTTCATTATTGCACGAATTTCTAAACGAAGCTTCATACATTTTCAAGTCAACTTGGTCTTTTTTTTTACTTTTTGCCCTCACAGCTATTGAATGGGCTATTGGTTAATGTTAACCAGAAAACAAATACTCTCGCAGGCCACCTTTTGAAAATCTTGCCAATAGTAATTTTATGTTGGTTAATGGTAATGTAATGATTATAGCAATAATAGAGATGAAAAACTGTTACTGCTGAGAGGAAACTCAACTTTCATCCTCCGTGTTCCAGACAATAAACACCTCAAAATTGTTTGATTCATGTTGACTTTTTCAAGTGTCACTGGTTTAATTATTTTTTTTTTTAACTGGTTAATACATATTACTTTCCTTACTTGGCTGATTTTAAATCTGTGAAGGGCAAACACCAGTTTTTATGGAGATCAACAAACGTCATTTTCAATACTGCTGTACAATTGCAAAAACCCAGCCCAACCAAAAACATGGCTAAAGTAAATCAACCATTTCCTCTTCCTTTTTTTTCTTCTTTCTCTTCTCTTCTGCAGGTCTGTTCAGTCATGTGACCCACTAGTTTTATTGATCTATGTGCCTTTATAACTGACAAAGCCCCATTATAAACATGTTTGCAATTACAATATGCACATTTTTGTAGTGGCTCTTAACGTCAAGTAGGTTTTTTTTTTTTTTTTAACTCTTTCATAGCATTGTGTTGCATATAAATGGCTTTGAAATAAAATATGGTCACAGGTCATGAAAGCCTGAGCAACATTAAAACAAAGCTCACACAAGTAAACTTTTTTTTTATTCATTTTTGTAATGTTGAATTAGACCATTACATTAAACGGAAATTAATCCTTGTTGCATTGAGGTGTCATTGTAGGAAGATGTTAATACTGTCATCAAACATCACAGCACTTATACAGCCTTTTGCTCAAGGCTAGGTCCCTCAAACTTTGTGAAGAGTTTGTCTTAATTTAAGGCAAACACATGACCTAAAAAAATAATGACCTATGCTTTGGGATTAGAAATCCCTGGAAGCTACGGTTGTAACATGCTGACTTAAAAATAAAAATAAATGCACATCTTCAAAGTGACAAAATATTGCATAAATACGATATGCATTATGTTAGGCTGTTTTAGGTAGTCATTGCATACTGCATTTTAGACAGCACCTTGTGTACCTTCCCCAAAATCAGCTCAAAGACTGAAATGGAGCACAATGTGCATCTGATGAAACGAAACGGAAGTCAATGACATTCCCTAAAACTATTAACAATTTAGAGTTACAAGGTCTGAAAGCTTCAAAGGCATTAAGTAACCCAATTGTTTAGACACTGAAAACAGTGGCAGGAACAGAAAAACATAGAAAAATGAATTTTGAGTAGGAAAAAGGAGACTATTAATACAAAAAGAATTGTAGATATAGATGAAAAAAGTCAACATAAATCATTAGTGTCATTACAGTGACACCAGTCTCCCCTCATTGAGGGGAAACTTTCACATATGCTTCTAAAAAAGGTAAGCACGTCTTAAGTGCTCTCCTCCAGATGTATCCTTACCAACAAGTGCAAAATGCTGGCCACAGCCCATCAAATAAGCCTGTAAACCATAGAGGAAGTGCGGTAAGGCTGGAAAAAGCTCACAAGAATTTAACCAGAGTAGAAGTTGCCATTCTCTCAACAACTCTACCATCTTGATTACTGTTTATCTTTTCTTGTAAATGTACAGTTGGTTGTGTAGCTGCCACAGTATTAGAGGTACTGGGGTCTGTTCAATCAGAGATTAGCTTTAGTGAGGACTGGCTCATGATAAACTCTCCCACGCCGATGAAGTACATGACCTGCACGATACCAAACAGTGGTGCGATGACTAGAGCCCTGCAGCCTGCTCCCTTCAGGAAAGCAGACGGGCCTTCTCGCTTCATGACCTTGCTGTAGGAACAAAAAAAAAAAACAAGCAACGGTCACAGGCGGTAGATGATACACTCACATTCCAGAATTAGAAATCGGTTAAATCGTAACATTTAAAACAAGTTATTGGACTGATGCGTCACCTGAAACAGTCAATTATGCCGCTGTAGGTTTCCTCGTTGGCTCCTTTGCTCAGAGACTGCAGCCTGGTCTTAACCACTGCCAAATCAAATAAAAACAGTGAGCATGTGCATTTCCTTTTAAAAGTGCATCAATTAAATGGGGCTAAAGAGGACCAAAACAACTCTTACCATCACATGGGTTAACGGCAACAGCAGCTGTGGAGCCTGCAACACATCCAGAGATGAATGACCAATAAAATGGTGCAGCCGCATCAGGGGAGGGCTTACCCAACTTGTTCAAATTTGCAAAGAGAGGGAAGTAGACGATCGAGAAAGGTACATCTCTATATATAAAAAAAAGGAGAAAAGTCATTTATGGTCTCATTACTATGAATGTTTGCATTTATTGTTGTTACAGTAAAGATTATACGACGCATTACCTTAATAGAGTTGCACCAAGGCCAGGGGAGGGCTTACCCAACTTGTTCAAATTTGCAAAGAGAGGGAAGTAGACGATCGAGAAAGGTACATCTCTATATATAAAAAAAAAGGAGAAAAGTCATTTATGGTCTCATTACTATGAATGTTTGCATTTATTGTTGTTACAGTAAAGATTATACGACGCATTACCTTAATAGAGTTGCACCAAGGCCTTTGTAGAGCCCCTGAATGCCTTGAGAGTGCAGTAACTCTCTTGCGATCTGGGTGGCAGATACGGCTCTGGGTGAGGTGTTGGGCACCACGTTGTAGGAACGACTCAACACCACGTTTGTGGTCACCAGTCTATTGGGTGGAATTATGCCTGGTTTTCTCTGCTGAGCGGCTGTGAAGATGAACAGAAAGTTGTTGCTACAGCTAAATGACTGAGTGAGTAATACAACTAGACTGAACTCAAAATGTACTCCTATTACTGCGTGCCAAATGACAACTGACCAATCAGAATCGAGACCACTCAATAGGCTAGATTTCATTGCTTCATTAAGCACCATAAGAGAAAAAGAATAAAAACAGGTCATTTATAGTCTCATTACTATGAATGTTTGCATTCAGTGTTGTTACAGTAAAAATTTTACAACGCATTACCTCAATAGTGTTGCACCAAAGCCTTTGTAGAGCCCCTGAATGCCTTGAGTGTGCAGTAACTCTCTTGCGATCTGGGTGGCAGATGGGTGAGGTGAGGTGTTGGGCACCACATTGTAGGAGCGGCTCAACACTGTGTTTGTGGTCGCCAGTCTATTGGGAGGAATGATGCATGGTTTTCTCTGCTGAGTGGCTGTGAAGATGATCGGAAAGTTGTTACTACAGCTAAATGACTGAGTGAGCAATACAACTACACTGTACTCATAATATTGCAAAACAACCCCAACAAACATTGATGCCAAATGACACAACCGACCAATAGAATCAAGAATACTCAATAGGCTAGATTTTATCGCTTCTTTAAGCGCAAAAAGGAAACCTACCTAGTCTCCCAGCATCCTGTAGTTGAATTTTCAGCATCTCCATTGGAGTAGTGATGATAACCTGGCACATGCCCGCAGCACATCCAGCCAACATCTCTCTAAATACAGTCAGCCCTCTCCTGTAACAAACAAGGCAATGGTTATATATGTATATAAAAAAAAATTTGCATTTGAACAAGCACTAAAAAGTGCAGAAGCAGAAAACGTACCCATCTTTGGAGAGGTGGCAACGGAAGAAGTCATTGGCAGCCATTTTGATGGCCTTCTCAGGAGTGACGAGTGTAAGATTAACCGCAGCACCTAAAAGACAAAAAAACTGAGGGTTAAAGAAAACTACACCACAACTGATCACAGATCAGCAAACACACATTCCCCACCACCATCAAACCAGAGATAAATCTACAACATGACCTTATCAAATACCATTCAAACTGATTACAAGATAAAAATGCTACTAAGAGACTGTAGGAATAGAAGCAAAGCTTATGAGAGAACTGTGAGCTGATGATGGAGGGGGATTCTACATAATGTGAACAAAACCAAAAAAAAATTAACTAGTATATAAACAAACAGAGGACAGAAAAATAGGATAGAATATACATAAATGTAGTGAGACAAAAATGAATGCAGGCACATTCCAGAAAGAGACCGACATTAGGGCTGTGCAGTATCACAGTATATAATAGTATGGAAACGTGTCAGCAGGTAGATTTTGCTGTGCTGTTTATGCAGTGTTCAATCTGCAAACAATAGAGAAATACAGCCTTTTCTCCAGACTGTCGCAAACAGCTGCTTCCATGAAGACCGCTTTGTGTAGTTTTGATGTGTTGCACGCCCTCTCCTGTAACAAACAAGGCAATGGTTATATATGTATATAAAAAAAAATTTGCATTTGAACAAGCACTAAAAAGTGCAGAAGCAGAAAACGTACCCATCTTTGGAGAGGTGGCAACGGAAGAAGTCATTGGCAGCCATTTTGATGGCCTTCTCA